ATGTTTCCATTTGAAGTGTAAAATATATTGGTCAAAAATTGCAAGAGAAATTAAAATAGTTGTTAAAAATTACTTCAGAGATAAATTAGTAGACATTTCTCGAGAGATAAAACATTGTTTAAAAATTGCACGAGAGATCAAATATTGTTCAAAAATGGCTTGAGAGGTAAAAAGGGTGTTAAAAATTGGTCGAAGTATAAAATAGTAGTAGTAAAATATTGTTCAAAAATTGCTCTAGGGATAAAAATACTGTTAGAAATTTAATGAGATATAAAAATATTTAATAATTTTTCGAGAGATTAAATAGTATTATAAATTGTTAAAATCGTGTTCAAAAATTGCTCGAGGGATAAAATACTATTGAAAAATTTGTCGAGAAACAAAATATTGTTCAAAATTGACTCAAGAGACACCTACTATTGGAAATTTCTCGAGAGATAAAACATTGTTTAAAAATTCCTCGAACGATAAAATACTATTAGAAAATGCTCGAGAGTTAAAATATTTTTATAAATTTGTCGAGAGTTAAAATATTGTGCAGTTTGCTAAAGAGATAAAAAAGTTGTTAAAAATTGCTCGAGAGATAGAATAATGTTAGAAATTAATCGAAAGATAAAATATTGTTAAAATATAGCTCAAGAAATAAAAAAAGGTTTAAAAACTGTTCGAGAGATAAAAATAGTATATCATAAGTCATTAAAATCTTATTCAAAAATTACTAGAGAATTAAAAAATACTGTTAAACATTTCTCGAGAGTTGAAACATTGTTTAAAAATTGTTAATAAAAATGTTCGAGAGATAAAATAGTGTTAGAAATTATTAAAATTTTTACTCAAAAATTGCACGAGAGATCAAATATTGTTCAAAAATAGCTTGAAAGGTAAAAAAGCTGATAAAAATTGCTCGAGTGATTAAATAGTGTTAAAAATTGTACAAAAAATTTTATACAAACATTTCTCGAGAAATAAAAAAGTTGTTAAAAATTGCAAAATTGCTCGAGAGATAGAATACTGTTGGAAATTTATCGAGAGATAAAATATTGTTTTAAAATAGCTCAAGAGATAAAAAAAGAATTAAAAACTGTTCGAGAGATAAAAGAGTATCAAAAGGTATTAAAATCTTATTCAAAAACTGCTCGAGAGATAAAATAGTGTCAGAAATTTGTCGAGAGATAAAATATTATTTAAAATTGTTGTGTTCATGTTCTCTATAAACCTTTTTTTGCTCTTTAATTACTATACTTCATAATTAAATATTCTGGCAATTTTACAGAATCTAGTACATTTTTATGAAATCTGGTACATTTTTTAGATAAATCTGGTACATTACAAAAATATATTCTGGCAACACTGCATCACATCAGTTCGATATAATTTTTGGTTGCCAGCAGTTGAGTCTAATAAGCCGCATTAGAAATCAAATCACCGTAGATATTTTTTCCGTGTATTTACAAATCCGTTAGGTAAAAAACCTTGTTCCGCTTGATATTGATATTTTAAAAACCGAATTAGCTTTTAGGAATAGGAATATTTTCAGATAGTGTTTAGTTAAAAGATTTAATTTGATTTCATTAATAAAAAATTTGATGTGTCCAACACATGACTTTCCTATCTAGTTATTATAGGCTTTTTCCGGTTATTTTATACAACCTCTATAAATATTTAGAGGATAAACTAAATATATACATTTTCCACATACATCTACCTCGAAACATTTTTCTATAGATATTCATTGAATACGAAAATACTGAAAAATTTAAATTTAGCACTCTTCCTCCAATTTTTCCATTACGGTCCATTTTAGAAAAATCATATATAAACAAAAATTATGGATCGATATCACAAACAACTTTTAGTTCAACAATTTTCATAAAAATCAGAATTTTGCACATTTTGTCAAATTTCTCAAAAATACGGACCATTTCAGGAAATTTTGACATACTCCATAAAATATAAAAACGGCCTCTTATAAACTACCTCCCCAGATGTTCCCACTTTGTCCAAAATCTGATCATTTCACGTCAGGCCGAAATAAAACTTAAATTTAAAATGTAATGTTTTTTTCTTTATCCGTTTTTGAGTTTTCTTCAAAATTCGAAATTTACACATTTTCTCAAATATCTCGAATACGGTCCATTTTAGAGAAATTATGTATATAATAAAAATTATAGAGAATTATATTACAAACAACCTTTATTTGAACAATTTTTATAAAAAAATATTTTTTTTTCATTTTGTCAAATTTTTCGAATACGGACCATTTTAGGAAAATTTTATATAGAATAAAAATTTTAGATAATAATATTAGAAGTAACTTTTATTTGAAGAATGTTCTTCTCCAAACGTAAATAACAGATATATTCCATAAAATATAAAAATGACCTCCCATAAAGTACCTCCCCAGATGTTCCGACTCTGCCCAAAAACTAATCAGTTCATTGGACGATGGAATAAAGCTTAAGTTTAAAATTTGGTGTTTTTCTGTGTATCGGTTCATGAGTTATGCGACACACAGACATAATCGCGAAAATAGTCAAAACGGATTCAGGGGACCTCAAAACGTAAAATTCGTCAAAAACTCGAGGTCGAAAAAAATCATGATTCCTATACTTTCCTTATATCTATACAGATGGGAAAGTAATAATAGAATTTGTTTCTTGGCAAATGATACCGTTTCTTTATTTTTTTTTTATAGATAGTATTTAGATAAAAGAAAAAATTTGATTTCATTAATAAACATTTGAATTTATTTCTTGGCAAATAAAATACCGTTTCTTTAAAAAGGGATAGAATTTGAGTTAAATAATAAATGATAGGATTTAATTCTGTAATATTGTAAAACCGGGGATTTTAGACTTTTGATTGTTAGTCGGTATTAAGAATTTTTTTTCTTTTGATAGGTTAAATCGGGAATTAAATTTGATTTTATTGATAAATACTTTTGTGTAGTAAGTACCGCGTTGTAATTAAGTTAGGAATATTTGTAAACGGAGTTTTCGAGGAGACGTTTTCCCTCTTTTAATAGTTTGTTTATTCTTTTACCGTATATTCGAATAATCTTAAATAGCATCCTGTCCTTGTCTGAACGGGCTCGTGATGACGATCAGTTCACCCTTGGAGTAGGTGCTATCCGTCTTATAATTTTTTTTAGTTAATCTGTAATCGCAAGTTTTAAATAATTTTAAATAGTATCCTGTCCTGTTTGAACGGGCTCGTGATGACCATCAGTTCACTCTTGGAGTAGGTACTATCCGCGTTAGTAATTTTCTTCCCTCCGATAATAATTTGTTTTTCTCTTTTACCGTCAATTTAAATAACTTTAAATAGTATGCTGTCCCTGTCTGAACGGGCTCGTGATGACGATCAGTTCATTCTTGAACTAGGTGCTATCCGCTTAGTTTTCTTTTCCCCTTTATATTCTTCTTTTATTTTTCGTGCAAACTGCAAGTTGTAGAAATCAAAAATAGCTTCATTACCCTGTCTGAGTGGGCTCGTGATGGCGATCAGCTCATTCTGGGATAATAGGCTACCCCGGGTATAAATTTATTTTTATTTTCTTTCCGTGTATTTACTATAGGTAATTCTTTCGCGTCCCTGTCTCCTTGCACTCTCTTTGACCGTTTAGCTAATTTTTCCTCACCTAAATAGTAAAATACCTACATTTTAGTTTAATTCCCGATACCACGGTTAAACAGTTAATTACCGAGTAAAGAGCCAAGTTAATAATTTTTTTCTCTACAACCGAAACATACATTTTATTTTAATTTTGACGTCTGATTGAGACCAGTCGCGAATCAATACCGTCCGTTTTGTTTCTTTTTTTTTATTCAGGGTTATAATGACTATCACCACAACCGGGGTGGGCGTTAAATATTTAATTTCTTTTTTTGTTGTAAATAGTTATTCACAATATATGTGTCAATGTTAACCTGCCGTATTACTGGTTAATAATTCCCTACTTTATTTCCCCCCCTTATATTTCAGCTAGTGATAAATTCTGTTCCAGCCCAAGCAACGATTAAAGCCCGTTACTTGTGGCCTACTATTACCGTCTAAGTGACCTTTGACCCCTGGAATTTTTCATCTCCATCTGTAGCTACCCGAGTACTTTCGACGCCGTTTCGAGAGTTTGTGGAGTAAACCATTACCAAAAATCTGGCGCTCGAGAACCGTCCGTAACCAGCGCCATTCGTAAGGAACCGTTTTCTTTGTGGCGAGAAAACCCCTTACAGCTGCTCTAACGTCATTTATACATACAATAAAAAAAATGGGAGGAGTGGATGTCTGTGATCAAATGATAAGAGTGTTACAGAACTTTCTTCAAGACGCGAAAATGGTCGTTTAAAGACATATTACATTTGTTTGATCTCTCTTTAGTAAATAGTTGGATGGAGTATGTTGAAGACTGCAAATCAAACAATTTTCAAAGAAAGGATATCATGGATTTTTTGACATTTCGTATAGCAGTTGGCGAGTTTTTAATTGGGAACACAAGAAAGAGGAGGATTCAGTTTGAGGAAATAAGTGATTTAGAAAATAATGAAACAGGAGACGAGAAACATAAGAAGAAAAGAATAATTCCAGCTACCCTTCCTGGTATTGATGGATATGAACACTGGCCAGTAAATGATGACTTAAAACATCCCCTTTGTTGCAGACTACAATCTTGTACTAGCAGAACAAGAATATGTTGTAGCAAGTGCAATGTTTACGTATGACATACTCACAATTGTGAGGAAAAGTGATATGGACCCAAAAGGTATATTATTGTAGCCTGTTTTTTTTTTTGTAAAAATAATGGTTGGACAAATCTGAAAAAATTAGTGACTTTTTATGACTTCTGATAATAGGAAACGATAAAATATATTGTGTTTGACTTATTATTGCACACTCAGGTCTGTAAGGGATATACAGGCAGGAAAGTAAAAAGGCTACACTTGTATCTGCAACCTGCGATGGTCTTATAAAATTGGTTAAAACTATAATAAAACATTCAAAAATTCATCTGATTTCTTTTTATTTCAGGTTTTTTTTTAAATAGAAATATTAAATCACAAAATTAAGAAATAGCAATACAAAAATACAACTTAAAATTCTAAGCATTGAACATTTTAGACGCCAACAGTTTCTTCCTTCCCATCATAGGTAATAGGATCAAATAAAAATACGTTATTTATCGGAACTTCTTTTCCTGATACAGCTTTGATAACTTCTTGCGCGATAACGCCTCCCAACACTGCACAAACTGGTATCGCTTCACCAAAAACGATTTCAAAAATATCCGCATCGAGTTTTGATTTTGTTTCATCCACTTGATACAACTGGAAAATGTCCTTTTTGATGTCTTGTAGAGTTTTAATATCGTTTTCCTTTGATTCGAGCGAAGGATTTCGACTCTTCTTGTTTCTGAATTCAATCAAAGCTATAAGAAAAAAGAAAATTTAGAAATGATTGAGATTATATTTAGATTATTTTAACCAAATGAAAACTGTGATAACCTTATTCAAGAAAAGTGTAACTACAGTCTCACAACTCCAAAAGTACCCACTTTAATATAAAAAAAATAATTAAACCAAAAAAAAGACCAGGATTTGATTTAATTATCAAGGAAATACTAAAACAATTTCCTAGGAAAATCTTATTAAAGCATCCTTCATATTAACCCTCTATTGCAGTTTGTAACCGAAAGGGAACGCAAACAAATAACTAACGATTCTGAAATGCTACAACGCTTCACCACATTCATGAAAGCCTCTTCTGGGAACACATCAAAATGAACTGACAACGGCGCACTTCTCATTGAAAGGAATTTCGCGCGCTTTGTGGCATTTATTTGTTAACACTTGTTGATGCGAGGTTATATTAGGCATTCCAAACTGAATGGCTACCAGTCAGTGTTGCCAGAATATATTTTGGTAATGTACCAGATTTATCTAAAAAATGTACCAGATTTCATAAAAATGTACTAGATTCTATAAAATTACTAGATTTTTCTAATTATGAAGTATGATCATTAAAGAGCAAAAAAAGGTTTATAGAGAACACGAACACAACAATTTTAACAATATTTTATCTCTCGACAAATTTCTGACATTATTTTATCTCTCGAGCAGTTTTTGAATAAAATTTTAATACCTTTTGATACTCTTTTATCTCTCGAACAGTTTTTAAATCTTTTTTATCTCTTGAGCTAAGTATTTTGAAACAATATTTTACCTCTCGATAAATTTCTAACAGTATTCTATCACTCGAGCAATTTTTAACAACTTTTTTTTATCCCTCGAGCAATGTTTTATCCCTCGAACAATGTTTGTACAAAATTTTTTGTAAAATTTTTAACACTATTTAATCACTCGAGCAATTTTTAACAGTTTTTTACCTTTCAAGCTATTTTTGAACAATATTTGATCTCTCGTGCAATTTTTGAGCAAAATTTTAACAATTTCTAACACTATTTGATCTCTAGAGCAATTTTTATTAACATTTTTTATCTTTCTAACAATTTTTAAACAATGTTTTATCTCTCGAGAAATGTTTAATAGTATTTTTTAATTCTCGAGTAATTTTTTAATATGATTTTAATAACTTATGATACTATTTTATCTCTCGATCAATTTTTAAACCTTTTTTTATCTCTTGAGCTATATTTAAACAATATTTTATCTTTCGATAAATTTCTAACATTATTCTATCTCTTGAGCAATTTTTAACAACTTTTTATCTCTTTAGCAAACTGCACAATATTTTAACTCGCGACAAATTTATAAAAATATTTTAACTCGCGACAAATTTATAAAAATATTTTAACTCCCGATAAATTTTTGACAATGTTTTATATCTCGAGCAATGTTTATACAATATTTTATCTCTTGAGTATTTTTTAATAGTATTTTATCGTTCGAGGAATTTTCAAACAATGTTTTATCTCTCGAGAAATTTCTAATAGTAGGTATCTCTTGAGTCAATTTTGAACAATATTTTATTTCTCAACAAATTTTTCAATAGTATTTTATCCCTCGATCAATTTTTGAACAAGGGTTTAACATTTTGTAATACTATTTTACCTCGAGCAATTTTTGAACACGATTTTAACAATTTATAATACTATTTAATCTCTGGAAAAATTATTAAATCTTTTTATCTCTCATTAAATTTCTAACAGTATTTTTATCCCTAGAGCAATTTTTGAACAATATTTTACCTCTCAAGCAATTTCTAATACTATTTTATACTTAGACCAATTTTTAACACCCTTTTTTACCTCTCAAGTCATTTTTGAACAATATTTGATCGCTCGTGCAATTTTTAAACAATGTTTTATCTCTCGAGAAATGTCTGCTATTTTATCTCTGAAGTAATTTTTAACAACTATTTTAATTTCTCTTGTAATTTTTGACCAATATATTTTACACTTCAAATGGAAAGATACGCTGAAAAAAATACTAGATATTGTTTCGAGTGTACTAGAGTACCAGATTCTCAGATAATGTACTAGATCTAGTACAATTGTACTAGACTGGCAACACTGCTACCAGTGGGTTCTGACGGGTTATGATATGGCAAAATCATGGCAACCCTGTAGGCCTGGTGATTTGACAAGGTCAATGAAATAGATAGTTACATAGATTGATCATCCATATTTTTCAAAATAAACATAAGCTTTGCCTTGAAGTAAAAATGTAAGCAATTATTTTTTTTAAATATCTGAAGGCTAAAAATTGGTTTTAAAACACATTTTTGCTAAACCGATTTAAATTAATAAATATTTGCCAGGCAATATGGCCGCTCGTAAACGACCAGCTTTGAGCAATCTATATAACTATATATGTATCATTTACCCTGTTAATGACAACATGACAACAGGGTTGCCATATCTAAACTGTCATTACCCACTGGTAGCCATTTGGACAGGTCGTTGGAATGCCTAATTGTGCATGCTTTGATATTTTTATTTGTTATTGGCAGATAAAGGTAAGATTTCAACTAATAAATATGTAGATTAAGTTCATATATCTATATAATGTATGTTTAAAAATAAAAGAGCTACTTTCGCATGAAATTATGTGAAAATGATTCCCATAAATGTATGTGGCCGCTCGGGAACAATATGCATTGAAAACTAAAATACATTAATTTATTTATTGTTGGTAAATAAAACGGTTTTCTTTCAGAATATGGATCCGAAAATTTTTTCAATAAATCCGAAACCATTTTATGGACGTAGTAAAACTACATACAACTTTCGAGTCAGAGAAATACCTGCTGATAGTGAAGATAGTGAGCTGTCAGATGGAAATACAAACGTATAAGAATTATTGATATAGGGATCCTCCAATAATTTATGTTGTAAAAATGATGAGTCCACTGAAGAAGATGATAACTCTTCTGAAGAAGATGATAACTCTAACTCTTCTGAAGAAGATGATAAGTCTTCTATAGATGACAAGTTTTCTATAGATGACAAGTCTTCAGAAGAAGATGACAAGCCTTCAGAAGAAGATGATAAGTCTTTAGAAGAAGATGAGAATCCTCTGAAAAATTTAAAAACCCAAGCACCTCGAATGACCCCAGGAACTGAAGAACCCAAGAAAGGGCTCACAACATCTCAGAAGCGAGGTCGCCCAAGCTCGTCAACTTCTGAACCACCAGTGAAAAGAAATTATATAGAACCTAGACCAAAGTTCATTTATGCTTTAATAAAAAAAAAAAAAATGTTTTTCGTCCAGTTTCATGAATGAATAATTTTTTTTGTTACGCAAAATTTTTTCAATAAACGTTCAATACCAATGGGATTTTTATCTTTGAATGCATAATGCACCCAAAAGGGAATATTAAAAAAATGGGGGAAGTGGTGGGTTTCCAAAAAAAGTGTTAATTATGTTATTTTCTTATTTTCTACATTAAGATTAAATTTTAATTATTTGAAGCAGTTTTGAAAATTATAATTAATTCATGCAATAGAGGGTTAAAGTACTTTAGATATAGAAAGTGGTCAAGGTAATAATACCTAAATCAGGCAAACCACCAAGAGGAACATTATCACTATTTAAAAAGAGGTTTAGTATATAAAATATTGTATCCCCTTGACAAATATTACAAAGACGATCTGCCACTGCATTTAATTACAACTAAAAACTAAATACATTCAATTAAAATAAATAGTTAATAACCGATTAACTATTATTTAACAATAATTCCATTGAATTAGTTACAATTATTTCGGATTAAGATTATTTTTCATTTAACCTAAAATTACCAATACAGACACACTTTTTTTTTTATTAAGTACCTAATATTCATTTGTATATTTTTCGTGGGTGTGTCGTGTTTGTGTCCCAAATAAATAAATAAATTAGTGATAACATTGCAATTAAGGACCAACCAAATGCAGTTGAGTTTAGTGTGTTTTAATTGTAGACTAAATAGTTTTTGAACATTTAGTATTTAAGTGATTTCAGGTCAAGTAAGTAATGTCAGTATTTCTTTTAAATAATAATTGTACAAATTCATGTAAGCATTATAATATTGTGGATATGCAAAATAAATGTATGTCTCTGTCAGTTACATGTTTCAACTCACTAAGCCTGAAACATTACAAGTCTTTTCTTGATATATTTTTAAAACAGTACTTAAAGGTTTACATTTTAAAAACACATCTTTACTGATGTTTCATGTATGCAGTAACACTTGTATTCATAGTTACTTATTATTATTATTGTTAATTATTTATATATAATCAATCATAAATTGATTCTAGTTTACATACTTACACAACATAATGAAGAACAACTCGTTTCGCCGTTTAGATTTTTTAATACAATCTGCATTCTGTTTTGTATTGGGTAATATTAGGACTTTCTTAAGTTCTGGATAATTCACAACACCTTGAACTTTTACAGTGGTTTTTTCTGCTCCTTCATGCGTCCTTTTCTTCCCAGCTAACTGAACTTGATCTCTAATTAAAAATGATGATTTTAATTTCATTATTACACTTGCTAAATGAATATTTGTACATATATACAAAAGGTTAAGTTAATAATGGGTAATAGTGCTGTACTGGGACAAGAAATCAGTTCATAAATGTTTACTTTTATAACCATTTCCTTTAGTATATCGATTAAATTATTTTAAACCTTTAAAAACTTACTCGTGATATTCATGATCTTGAAAATCAGAAACAGAATATGCAAAAGTTCCAAATACATCTCCAAAAATGAATTTGACATTATTGGCTCTGCACACTTTGTCAATTTTCAACAGCAAATCCGTTTTAATGCAGGTAGCAACAATAATGGTGAACTCTTTAAAATAGCTGGGATCCTTAGAAGCTGGAGAATCAGTGTCAGCTTTTATTTTAACCAAAGGATTAAGAGCTTGTGCTTTCAGTAAAACTTCTTCTGCAATCTGGTAAAAATTAAGAATAAATGATTAATTTTTGTAAAATGCAGATTAATAACACAACAGCTACTTTTTATGTATGTCTACATAAAAAAAAAGTTTGATACAAGCTAGATGCATAAATAAAATTAATTGTATACCTTTTTCCCTTTACTGTCCTTACTGAGTAGAAAGTTTTTTTCTTGTTCTTCTTCAGTAACAATTCCATCGTCCAATATAGTTAATGAATTAATTCCAGATAAAAGTATATTTTTGGCAATTTCTGAGCCCAAAGCTCGGATATTAATAAGCAAAACATTTGCTGCTCTTAATCTAAAATAAAAATATAATAATGGACTCTTTTTATACAATAAAAGAAAAGAACCTTAGAAGTTTATGAATGATTGTAGGATACCTTTTAAATCATTAAAAATGTTCGTATTTATGCTAAGCAAGAATGAAAATTGTTAACTTTAAAACGTTCTCACTCTAGTTTGTTTAATCGTAGAATATTGTTCTGTAATATAAAATATTTAACAGTGATTTAGTATAAGGAATTGCTGGAGATTATATTTAGGTCTTAGGTAAACATAGGAAAGATGAAATTAGACTTATGCTAATTTCAAAATTCATTTAACAAAAAAATTTACAATAGTAGAATTCAAAGGTAACATAAACCTATTAAACCTGCGTTAGGTATAGGTATTGTACTTGAGTGTACATTATATAAATATACATAAAATAAAATCAGTTTTACAACGAAGGTGTCTACAAATTGGTAATTAATAACGAAAAAATATATGTACTTTTCCTGAGATTCTATTCCCCATAAACGTATTTGTCTATCGTATAATTCTGTTTCGACAGCTGATAGTTGGTTTTCGGACATTATTAAAATATCTATTGAGAATTAAAGATTACGATTACAATTTACGATACAATAAAAATGTTTAATCTGAGAAACACAGAAGAACTGAAGAAAAACATACATAAACTTGTTTAAAAATAGGGTTAGGACTTTAGTGAGTGACGCCGGTTGACAGTTGAGAGTCGACAGGTACACTCTGCGGCTGAGTTCGGTTTGGCGTTCGCTGTACTCAGAGTGCGCTCGGTAAGCCTCAATTGTGGTCGTTTTGGAACTCAGAGCGTATTCTTTTGTGTTCGGCTTGCCACATATCACGTACTCGGAGCGCGCTCTGTGCTTTATGGCGCTCACTCTTCCCCGAGTTGCCCGATGGAGATCGGCGGGTATCTGTAAGTCTAGTTGTCGGAAACGATGGTAATTTCATTATAGAAAATGATAAAATTTTATGACACAAGAAAAAAGGTAATGAATTGAATTTTTACATAAAAAAGTCTATGTGAACGTCAATGACGTTACCTATTTACTAATTTTTGATAATTCCTACAATCTCAGATAACAGAAAGGACTAAAAACTTTATTTAACAATACTTGCACTTACCATTCGTATTTATCCGGCAAAAATAAACGTTTCGACGAATTTTGTCAGAACGATTGAAAATTTTACGATCTCGATTTCTGAACGCACCCCAGATTGCTGTCATTTGTCATTGTCACCTGATATTTGTTTTGTTTATTATTTTGTTTACCTGTTGCTTTTAAGCCGGCTTTTGTATTTTTGAGGTTTTAACTGTTTTTAGATATTATCATTACAATAGTGTTTCTGAGTTTCGTTTAATAATAATTTAAATTTAGTTTCCGTGCTTTCGTCATGTATTTAAGACAAATGGGTTGGAAAGGCAGAAGATCTTTTATTATGTGGTTTAAAGGAAATTTCAGGTAACTAATGCTTATTATTAATAAACTTAATTAAAAATCTAACTAACTGAATTGTGTGGCAATTTATTAACGTGTAAACGTAAACAGAAATAAAACACAATGGATCAGACATCAATGTTCCAAAATCTTAATAATGTAAATTTGTAGTTGTAGATATCAATTTATCACAAGAAACAAAATTTTTGTACTTAGGGTTGGATAAGGATAAGGGACCATACAACATTTCGCTGTATTATAGCATTATTTGATCTTGTACCAGTTGTACAGCAAACTTACAGTAAAACGCTTGTATTTGTCGAGCAAAACACCATTATTTTCCAGCAATGCAAGTTTTGTATTTTGGGGTGCTGAAAGAAAACGTACACACTCCCAAAATTCATCATCAATCTTAATGTTGTATTTATGTTACATCCAGAATTTGTGAAAAGAAATATGGCTCCCTAAAACACCCTATAGGATTGCTGGGGACTTATTCTTAAATTTCATTTTTAATATAAATACACACATTATAAGAAATACACAAATTTAATGCTCACAATTAAAAAGTCGAATTTATAATTGATATAAATTTATCTATAAACAGTGAAACACCACGACAATGTTGACTGATACCTATTAATGTTTCTAGTTTACATTTTTTGGAGAACAGACATTTTTGACTTGTCCTTATTACCTTATGTTAGAGAATTGTTCCTTTTGCTTTTAACTGGACATAAAACATGTATTAGTTCCAAGTTTGATTTTTTTAAATGGCTGAATTCTAGAGATTAAAAAAATACCAGATCTTTTTACCTCTGTTGGTATCGAACACTTCAAGTTGAGTTTTGAACTGATATGATGGACTGTACAGTTCAAATCTCACCAAAATTGTAGCATGTAGCAATCTTTTAGTCATGAAGAATAAATTTTATTAATAAATTTAGGAAAAAAAATTATTTATCATAAAAAATTGTGCATGGTCTAAAAACTAAATTACATCCATCAGATATTAAATTTGATGAGTCATACAAGAGGTTTGTTAAAAATGAATTACTTTACTCTCGAGCAAAAATGATTTGTTTAACAAACCTCCTATATAACTAATACAATTTAATATCTGATGATTGTATTTTAGATTTTAGACCATGTACAATGTTTTCCTTAAATTCATAATAAAAAAAAATTCCATATATGTAGATATGGCTTTGAACATTTATTTTTCTACTTTATTTATTTATTAATTTTCTAAATGAAGATTAGAATATTAATTTGCCCTGTTAATAAGGGAAAAGGTAAGTACAGTTTGGAAAGGTAAGTTTTGAGAAAAACGCAAAAAAAATTAAATAACTCTTTTATTTTAATTTTAGTTGAAACTATGGATTTTACAAAATATAAATAGTACCTAGGTATGTGTAACATTCATATTATACAGTGCTTCTCAAAAGTTCCCTCCCCCCTCTTTTCTTTTGAACAGTGATACTTAGACTGATGAAATTTAGAGGGTGAAAATGAACTATTGTAAGCTTCTTTACTTGTGGTAACAGATGACGTAATAGGTATCGATGACGTCACCGGGCAACTGGAGTAAATAATATTAAATGGGACCTTATATCAAGTGACACCTCGTTCTAAAGGTATTAAGAATGCCTATTCAATCATACTATTTTTTTTTAATTTACGATATTTTTGATAGTTAAAATAAGGTCCCATTTAATATTATTGGTTTCAGTTGCCTGATGACGTCACCGTTGCCTGCTACGTCACCTGTTGCCACTAGTAGAGAAGCTTGCAATAGTTCATTTTTACCCTCCAAATTTCATCTATCTAAGTATCACCGTTCAAAAGAAAAGAGGTGGGTAGGGGACTTTTGAGAAGCACTGTATATCTATTTAAAAAGCAAAATACCACTCTCTGACTCATCACGAGATCTCCAAAACTATAAGCCCAATTGACTTGAAATTTGGCATAATTACTCCTTTCTCGACGTTTTAGAGAGGGGAAATGGGGGTGAAAGTTTAAATGGAAGTATAGATTTTTTAAAAGTAGGAACTTGAAAATTGGAACTGTATCTACTCACTATAAATAAATATTGACCTGTTTCAGGATTTTGGATTTTCACATTTTAAGGGGGGGAAACGGCGGTGATATAAAAATAAATAAAAATATATAAATAATAATATATAATAAAGGAAATAATAAATACAATACTAATAACTAATAAAAATAATTAAAAACAAATAAATGAAACTTCTCACGTCCTGGTATGAATAATATGAAAAGTGAATTGATGTCCTGACAGCCTAACGTAGGACTATTTTTCTCATAGACAGTTTAAGTGACCTGTTAGAGAGTCAGTTCCGCATGCAATCTGGTGATATTAGCAGATAAGAGCCGTACCAGAAATGTGGCATACAAAGAGATTTTTAATTAGATTACTTACTTAAATATTAGATTACTTAACTCCAATCTATAATACATACATACCATACACTAAAATTTAACTGCAAGAAATGTAGGAATTTATAGTTTATAGACATTTTAAAATCCACAATAGCTGATAAAAATAAAATCATTGAAGACCAGGAACTAATTATAAAACTTTTGAAAGAAAAAATTTAAAATTTGGAAAAGCATAGTGTTTTGAAACAAGACAAGGTCACCACAACTGGTATAGAAGTCAAATCTAACCTTCCTAAATTAATAGATCAAAGGAGCAGTCGTTACATGATCAAACAAAAAAAGATACATTATCTAAGATTAATCCGACCAAACTCAAAATCACAGTAACTAACATAAAACAAAGCAAATCTGGTAATATTAAAATCAGTGTCAAAATAAAAGCGAGTTGAATATATTAAAGAAGGCTTTCAATAACACACTTAAAGATGAATATGATACGGAATTGAGTACCTAAATTAAAACTCCCAAGAATTAAAATCGTTAATGTAACTCAGGATTTAACCAATGAGGAAATAGAAGATTTTGTAAAAGATCAAAACGGAATATGTGGGGAGGTAAAAGTTAATTTTATCAGAAAAAATATTAGAAAACAAACCAAAACTGTCATCTGTGAATGCACACCAAATGCATTTCATCAGATTATAAACATAAAGATTTGTCTAGGTAGGGAAAGGTATGCAGAGATTTAGAAATACCATGATGTTTTAATTGTCAACAATTTTATAACAAACGAAGTGAATGCAAGACTAGAATGGTTTGTCCCAGTTGCTCTGAAGAACACAAAGAAGAAGAAAAAGAATGTCCCAAACAGGAAAAATTCTGCATGAATTTATCTAACCGTAATTACAACACAAGCCACGCCACTGGACACTAAAATAGTGACCACGAGGGTCCAACTTTTAAATTCCATGTAGACATTTTAAAGAGCAAGGTAGGCTATCTAGAATAGTATTTTTAAGCTATTGCATAGCTTTTATCGCGGGCTTTGAGCGCGGCGACCGAATCAAGAAATTCCGTAACGAAAAAAAAACCTAACACCCCCCACTCCGACCGGCACAGCGGTGCGGCGTTAAACAATATTAACTTCTCACTTATTCAATAAAAGAAAATCGAAAAATCCAAAAATCAAAAAAATCCACAAACCGAAAAATCGAAAAAAATCGAAAAAGAAATTCCGTAATGAAAATAAACCTAACACCCCCCACTCCGACCGGCACAGCGGTGCGGCGTTGAAAGCCGTGCATCGTCTAACGTCGTTTCAGTTCGGCAGACTTTGGCACGGTGTATGTGTGCGTGCGATTAAACGTATGCGTACTAGCTAACTGATCATAACTGATTCTATCTCTTTTAGACACAATTTCGGAAACATTGAATTTGAAAATGAATAATGATCCACAAGAATCCACAACAAAATATGAGACCACCATTGACGAGGTATTTTCCAGATATTTAGAGGATATCAAGTCTCAAACTTATGTTTCTTATTTCAGTTACCATAAACCTATAGTTTTAAATAAAAATTCCTGAATAACCTACATGTATTGTTAGATAATAAAAATATTTTAAACAAACTTCTCATTTATTCAATAAAAGAAAAAAAATTGTTTTCTTATCGGTCACCACGCTCAAAAAGTGTAACTTGAATTAATATCAAAGAAAAAAAAATACTGCATAAATAAAATAAATAATTATAATGGTATAAGTTGATAAAAAAATGCTATGCAATAGCTTTACCGCGG